GAAATCTCTTGGTATATCGATAGGTGCTTGACCTGCAGGATGGTCAAGACTGAGCATCAGAGGCCGCATGACAAGCTGCAACATCTAGATATTCCCATGTGGAAATGGAAACAGATCACGATGGACTTTATTACCTAGTTGCCGACGACAGTGAAAGGATATGATGTTATATGGGTCATCGTGGATCGATTGACCAAGATTGCCCATTTCTTGGCCATACGAAAGAGTTCGCCGACCGAGAAGCTGGCGACGTGTATGTCTGCGAGAACATTGCCCCTATTGTTTCCAACCGAGATGTTAGATATACCTCCCGTTTCTGGAAGAAGTTCCATGAGGAGCTAGGCACACAACTGCATTTTAGCACAACATATCATCCGCAGACCGACGGCCAGAGCGAGCGAGCTATACAAAACCTCGAGGACATGTTGAGGGCTTGTGTCATCGATTTTGGTGGGAGATGGGATTCCCACCTACCCCTTGCAGAGTTTGCTTACAACAACAAATATCATTCCAGTATTGGTGTCCCACCTTTTGAGCTGTTGTACGGGTGGAAATGTCGCACCCCGATATGTTGGGGTGAGGTTGGTCACAGAGTGATGGGGCAGACAGAGGTAGTTTTACAAACTACTGAGAAGATTCAGCAGATTAGACAACGGTTACAGAATATACAGAGCAGACAGAAGAGCTACGCCGAACGACGCCGATCAGAGTTAGAGTTCCAGGTCGGTGACATGGTACTCCTGAAGGTCTCACCCTGGAAGGGTGTGATCCGCTTCAGGAAGAGGGGAAATTGCATCCCCGATACATCGAGCCGTTTGGGGTTGGCAAGGTAGCTTACAGAATAGATCTTCCTAAGGAGCTCAGTCAAATCCACAACACTTTTCACGTTTCGCAATTACGAAAATGCATCATGGACGAGGAGGCAGTAGTATCATTGGATGACATTTAGGTCAATGAGCACCTGAATTTTATGGAGAGGCTCGTGGCCATTCTGGAGAGGAAGGTGAAGGTTCGGCAGAATAAGGAGATATCTTTGGTAAAGGTACATTGGGAGCACCGTAGAGGGTCTGAGTAGACTTGGGAGCTGGAGGATGAGATGCGAGAGCACTATCCGGAGATGTTCACCGCAACGGACTTCGAGGATGAAGTCTAGTTCAAGTGGGGGAGAATTGTAACTCCCCGACTCCCAGATATTAATTTTACAACTTTATTTATTCATATTGAAAGGTCTACTCAACGAGTTGGATGCCCTGACTCGTTGAGTAGGAACATTTGGGGCTACACATTTAAATGACCAACTCGCCGAGTCGGAGACATGAATCGACGAGTTGGAGCTGGAGGATTAAACCCTAATTTACGGGGTTTTGCACCCTATTTCAAGGGTTATTAGCCTCCCCCAAAACCCCTTATGAGTCCAGAAACCCTAAATCGTCGTTTTCTCTTATTTTGTGTGATAGTAAGCCTTGTGGTGGATTGTGGAAGGAAGATCTTGAAGTACTCAAGCTTGGAACAAGAGGAAGGTTGTAGATCCGAGTTATTCTTCATCTTAGCATCATTTTTGAGGTAAAAAGTTGTTACCTTGACTTCATTCTATCTAGATCTATGCATGTATGAGATTAGGGCCACTTTGGCAATGTTGATATGTTATTGGGGGTATTAGGCGTGATCTGAAGTTGCAATTTCAGATCTAGGCTTATCTTGGTCTATAAGATCATAATGTTTCAGCCTTTAGTGAGTTAATACCTTCTTCATCCCTTAGAAGCTTCCTTTAGTTTGATCTGGGCCATTATCACGTTGCATGTACGTAAAGTTTGCAACTTTACATAAGAAGTATGCCTTAAGAGCTTAGATCTACAATATGGAGCTTTGGAGTGGCTTAAAAAGCATATGAATGCAGAAAGGACTGAAGGGAATCGACAAGTTGCATGGCCAACTCGGCGAGTCCGATGAAGATTTTCATGCAAGGATTTCTGCATGGACTCAACGAGTCAGTAGGATGACTCGGCGAGTCAGCTAGGGTTTTCCCGAATTTTGGACATGCATGAACTCGGCGAGTTTCAGGGAAACTCGACGGGTCAACTGGGGATTTCACGACTTCTCGAGTTCAGGAAGGACTCAACGAGTCAGGTCAACATGGATTGTTGACCTTGACATTATCTTGGACTTTGACCAAGGGTTGACTAGTTGACTTCTGGGGTATTTTGGTAAATTGGAAATTTATGGAAATGGTCTTATGGTAAATATAGGTGGTGGAGTTCATGGCCATGGTTCGAGAGTTTGAGTTTATCACTTCGATTCAATAGTTAAGAGGTGAGTTATTCTCACTATACTAACAGGGTCGAAGGCACCAATATCGGCCCTTTATGGATTTGTATCCGGGTTATTGCATGATATGCTTATTGATTTACATCATGGTATAGGATGGTGATATGCTTGGTGACCTGGGTAGGTCGGTATCTTGATATATAGGATGATGCTATGTTATTGACCAGTTAGGTTTGTATCCTGGTTATAAGATGTTGCTATAACTAGTGATCTATTAGATCAGTTTGACTGTTATATATAATAGCGTATGATATTTATGTGCACATGTTTGTTTGATTGGGGGTTGGTTGAGGTGGCCGTGCTTTGTGCTGAATGCTAACATACCCAGGGCAGTCCAGGTAAATTGAAGGCCCTACAAAGGGATTCAGTCAGGCTGACAGGCTCGGCGAGCGGTCCGGATAAGCTGTAGGCCCTACGAGGTGGTCTAGATGTGCTGAAGGCTCGGAGAGCGGTACAGATAGATTGAAGGCCTGCGAGGCGGTCAAGTCAGGCTGAAGGCTTATTATGCATGTTGTTTGCCTATATGTTATATGATATGGTTATATATGTATGGCGTTGGTATTTTGGGGGTAACTCACTCAGCCTTCGAGCTTACATTTATCGATTATTGTTTCAGGTACTTTTGATGATCGCAGGAAGGTGAATGCATGATCGTGCACCTCCTTATGTTTTTACTATTGATTCTTGGAAACTCTAATATTAAACCATTTTGAAAACATATTTCTAATAATTATCGGTTTTTGAATATCTTAAAAAGTTTTAAATTGGCATGATTTTTTTATGGATGTTACATGAATAAAAACATCTTACTTTTATTTTTAGTTCTAGGATGTCAATTTCTCCATGGAATCGAAGGTAAGCTGCCACCAGAGCGAATCAAAGAAGTGTTATGATGTAAAAGTTGAAGTTGGCTTCTTGCTTCTAGCGTATAATCAAGTCGTGCATACTACTAATGGTTGTATAGATTCCCGATGAAGAGAATATTAAGGAGCAATGAAAACCCAAACGCCAAAAAATGAAGTAAATAGAAGATATTAAGTAATCTAATGCATAATATTTTACTTAATGCTTAATAATAACCTTTAGAGTACTGGTATAACACCCAAAATTGCTACAACCCTCATCACATGCCAACACAACAATAACTAGAAGTGGAGGTGGTGCATATATGTTATAACATGTTGAGAGAGAGAGAGAGAGAGAGAGAGAGAGAGAGAGAGAGAGAGAGAGAGAGAGAGAGAGAGAGAGAGAGAGAGAGAGAGAAGTTTATTTATTTTTTTATTTTTAATAATCAAATTTAATTCAAAGAAAAAAATAAAAGAAATTATAAAATGACAAAAAAAAATCATTTTATGTACATTTTAACATTCTTACAAGTTTTAGAAACCATATAAACAATTCGTGCAAGTTTAAAAACCACAGAGATCATTTATATAAAATTTTTTACAAAGATTGAAGTTGTAACCTTTGATAAACCACATAGACCATATATGTAATTTTGTCTTATAAAAATGATCTTTATAAAATTATTTAACAATGATATGTTTGAGAAAATTATAGAAATAGTTTGTAAAATTATCTAATTATCCTTATATTTGAGAAAATTACATAAATACTTCTTACCTAACATTATATTGACAAAACTTCATAAATAGTCCTTTTGGTATTTCGAAATCAGAAGTTTAGTCCGTAAATTTAAATATCTCACAAATAATCATTACAACGAAAAACACCATAACATGCCTTAACGAGGGTGAAAAGGTTTTCATGGTGTTATAATACCGTTTCCTTTGCCACCTGGGCCATATAACACCCCCTTAACATGCTTATAACTTAATCAATTACTCATTTAGCCAACACCATTTTGGATTTATAACTTAATCAATTACTCATTTAGCCAACACCATTTTGGATTTGCATTTGTGTATATTGTGTGAATTGTGAAACGGCTACCTAGGACCAAAGCCCAATAAATTATTAGCATTATACTTATACTATTTAGAACAGAAATATACTTATACTTAAAGCATAATTTTTTATATAAATATAAATATCAAATAATCAAATAACATACATATAATAATCGAGTAAGTTATACTATTAAAATAAAATAAAATATTTATTAAACTTAGACGGGTTAACGAGTTGAAAACAGATTTATAATTTTTATCTAATCCAACTTATTTAAATAAATAGTTAGACATGTTATTCATTTAACTTAAAAGACTGAAAATCTTAACTCTAGCTAATGTTGGGTTGGGTTAACGGACAGGATAGCTATTTGCCTACTTTAAATTTGGCCTAATTTGCTTTGTAGAGAAGTAAAGACAATTAACTATTAACACATTGGGAACTGTTTACATATTTTTGGAATATATTGGTTGTGATTTTAACATTCCTCACTTTTCTAATAGTGTTGCAGTTGCACCATGTTACGAGTTGATAGGAATCTAGAATTAATCGGCCCAAATACTATTAAAGCAAGAGTTATATCTAGAAGGCCCAATAAGGGTTTCCCCTGGAACAATCGCAGATTGTGTAATTGTTCAATATATCATCTTCTTTCTTTCTTTCTTTCAATCTTTCTCTGTTTGATCCGGTTTCATCAAACCCTAATTTTTGTTCTTCATCACGAGTCCAAACTTTTAATTGCCAAACCAACTATATTTCAACTTCCGAAGCTATAGAATTTCATTTATTTTCCTATATATATAAAACGTTACATTACAATACAACAAACATCGCTACAAAAGAAAGTTCCACCACCACCATATAACTATATAAGCATCCAACAATCTTTTCTTCCATTCCATTCTTAAAACAAAAATAGCCAACAAATGTTCTAAAGAACCTTGATGGCAACTGGCAAGATCACAATTAATACTATACAATATATAATTTTACAAAAGTAAAAAAGGTAATATGTATATGTATGTACATATATATATAGAAGAAGATTCCTACTTCAAAATTTCACCCATATCGTATCATATCCATGTTGTCAAAGCCTGATTAACCCCTTTGATTCCATCATACCATACTTAACCGAACTAAAAAGATCTTCATAACGTTTTTTCAATGATGACCCTCTTCTACAGTTTTTCATTGCAAACTCCCATCCACCTTGTTCCCCTTTTAGCAGCTGTAAAACCTGTGCATGTATATACATATACACCATTGTATTGTATTTCTCTAAATGGTTAGAAAGATTCATGAAGGAACAAAAAAAAAAAAAAAAGAAACACACCTGATTCATATCAGGCCTTCGAATGGATGATTGTTGTATACATAAAGATGCAGCCAACACCATTCGATGCAGTTCTTGTTTATTGCAATTCTCAGCAATTGCAGGATCAACCAGCTCTCGCACATTGTTCTTCCTCAGCAATGGTTTCGCCTGTTTAAGGAAATCAAACGGCTTTCCTTATTAAGAAATTCTATGTTAAAAAACCTATCATATTATTAGGTCGATTTTTCAAAATAGAATGTTGTAATAGGAATAATAAATCAATGTTGCTATACATACCCATAAAACAAGACTTTGTTGAGAATAATCAAGAGCTCTACGACCACTAATAAGCTCCAATAAAAGTACACCAAATGCGAAAACATCAATCTTTTCATCGACTATCCCATGCATTAAATACTCTGGAGCTAAATATCTACACAAAAAAAAAAATGATAAAAATTTAAGCCATTTTTGTATATTACAAGTATTGGAGTTTTAATAATGAAAGCATACAAACCCGAAAGTTCCTTCGAATCTTGAAACTGTATGGTGAGTCCAATGCTCAGGAAGCCATTTCGCAAGCCCAAAATCACAAATCTGAGTTGAAAATGTTTACCTTAAAAAGTTGCATATTTTTTTTACTTTAGACTTATATTTTGTGATTTTCTTCCAACGATTCGATACCGATTATAAAAATATGATTATAATTTTGATCTTTTATGATCCATTAAAGTCATAATCATTCAAAACTAATAATTAATTTCAATAGGGCTTACTTGAGGTTCAAAGTCTTGTGTAAGCAAGATATTTGCAGCCTTGATGTCTCTATGAATGATTCTCCTTTGACATCCTTCATGAAGGTAAAGCAAACCTTCAGCTGTCCCTAAAGCAACCTTATACCTAATACCCCAATCTAATTTCTCCTTCAAAGCTGTAACAAAAAAAAAAATGTAAAAATCCAAACTTTTTAACCCTTTCAATTCAAGAATTAACAACCTACTTTCAATTATTTTGTGCCTTAATAGTATAAACAAAATGAAAGTAGAATACAATAACAAACAAATCAATGAAACCACATTGCTAACCATGAAGCCATGAAGCTAAGCTGCCATTTGGAGACAACTCAAGAACAAGGTGTAATCCTCCTTCAACACCATAACCAATCAATTTGGCTGTATTTGGATGATTAACATGAGCCATAACTCCAAGTTCTGATAAAAAGCTTGATGTTCTTTCATCAATAGGGCCTCTTGTCAGTTGTTTAACAGCAACAAGCTGCCCGTTTTTTAAAACCCCTTTGTACACCTCAGCATATCCTCCCTTCCCAATCATATTTTCTGGAGAAAAGTTAAATTTAATTCTAACGAATCATTACGCGACACTGAAGAATTAGAATCAGATAAGTAGTTGTAATAAAAGCGCTTATGCTTTTGTTGCTTAAAGTTATGATAATCACTTTTGAAGTTACTTTTACATGTCTAAGTGATTAATTTATTGCTACTTGTAATATCATATTTATATGATCACCTATACTGTCAGGGGTAGTTAGGTAATTTTACATTTGTCTTGACAATCAATTTTCTTATAGCAACTCCTTGCCTTATCATCTAAAGATGAAAACTTAAAAAAATAAATAATCAAAGAATCATAATCATAATCTTCAATTTACCAAACACTCAGAAAAAAAAAAGATTCTTACAGCAACTCCTTACCTAATTATAAACAAGATGAAAACTTTAAATCAAAATAATCAGTCTACACACACCTCCAAAGTCCAAACACATCTCAGATATGATAATCTTGAAGATTAAGATGAATCAAGAAGCATACCTTTTGAGAAGTTGTTGGTGGCAGATTGCAACTGTGAGAAGGTGAAATTCTTCCAATGAGGCTTGAAATAGTTCATATCTGCCATTGGAGATGGTGGAATCATGGCCACGTGTTCTCTGAAACTGCTACTTAATTTTCTTGATAATTGCAAGCCACTACTGATTGGATGAAATGTGGGCAAACATTTCTTTGATTTGCTTTTCACAAGATGAACAAAATCAATCCATTTTGAGGTGGTTGTTGTTGTTGTTGAGGATTTTGAATCTTTTTGATGATCTTCACTTCCTGATGTGCTTTCTTTTGAAGAAACTGTCTCTGATTCCAAACTTCTTAAATAATCCTCAAGAACACAAGTGGGTGAATAGCTGTTTACCTTCACCTTCTGCATATCTACTAATCTGCAAAATTAAACATGTTGCTTAATCTTTTTGTATGAAAAAACATGAAAACTAACAAACCCATATTAAAAATTGCAAAAAAGACGAATTTTTTCCATTTTTTTTATACATCAAAAGGGAGAGCTGATAGTTGTTGGATCAAGAAGACATGACAAGACAACCCAGAAACCTTAAACATAACTTTTTTACAAAAATAATGAAAACGCTCTTATTGTATGTCCTTTTAAACCATAACTTTAAGTCATAGTATTTTGCAAAAACGTATTATATTGTCGGGTTGTTGGGATAGAAAATACGCAAAATGTACAAGAAAATAATTATAGAAAGGGGAGTTTGGATTTGCTTTTAAATTGATTGTGATTTTAAAATTATCTGGACTTTAAATAATCAGATATCAAGATGCACACGAACACTTGTAAAATAACTAATTAATTAAATTAATACAATTGCCTACCTTCTTAGACCTTAAAAGTTAGGCAGTTGGTTATTTTGAAAATTTGATTCTTCAAATGCAATAACCAATTTCCTCAGCGCCCTACCACCCTTTAAAATATCAACAAAAAGAAAATAGATTGTGTATCAAATGGAAAAGCAAAAGGGGGTTTATAAATTTCGAAAAAAGGTAAGAGAATTCAGCACAGGAATCGAGGGAAACCCATTGAAATGAAAACAGAAAACCCCATAACATACGAAAAAGAAAACATGGAGGAGACAAGCGAACACATGCACATGCTGGTAACTTGTTTTCATGGGTATCTGTAGTACTTACTCATGAGTCATGATGCATATACATACATAAATGAATATGTACCTACATATACATATAGATTTGTATACATCAGCATCAAGGCTCGAATAGTTGAATTGGGGCAAAAAGGAACAGCAATAGGCAGAGGTAGAGGGTTTGACCGACATACCATAAAAGCAAAAGCTGAAGATTCGTTTACGGATGCTTTGATACTGTGAACATGTCCGAAAACAGAGGAGGGGTGAAACCCCAGAAACTGATGAGAGAGAGAGAGAGAGAGAATGGTGGAAATGGAGTATTGTAGAAGAACACTGATGGTTGCTGGTTGCTGGTATGTGAAGTTTTTTTTTTTTTTTTTGGTAGGTTTCATTACATTTACAAAAATTACTTGAACACAAATATATATATATATATATATATATATATATATATATATATATATATATATATTCATTTGAGACCATTCTAATTTTGTAAGACCGTAATAACAACTCTAAAAATAATTTTAAAATGCAAAAATAAATGGAAAAATCCAAAAAAAAAAAAATTAATATTATTTTCGAAACTTGAATTAACTAAAAAAAATCCCGTTTTTTTAAAAAATACGTGAAATATTCTAATAGAATATTACACTAACATATTCTAAAAAATAATATTAAAATGCAAAATAAATGGAAAAATCTAAAAATTCTTTTTTTTTTTAAATATTATTTTCGGAACTTGAGTTAACTAAAAAAAATAAAAATAAAATTCCATTTTTTTTTTGAAAAATATGTGAAATATTCTAATAGAATATTTGACTGTACATATTCTAAAAAATAATTTTAAAAAGCAAAATAAATGGAAAAATCCAAAAATTCTTTTTTAAAATATTATTTTCGAAACTTGAATTAACTATAAAAAATAAAAAAAATAAAAAAATAAAAAAAAATGCATCTCACAGTCTCACAAAATTAAGCCGTCTCACATGAATCTATATATATATATATATATATATATATATATATATATATATATATATATATATATATATATATATATATATATATGAGATAGAGAATATACATTACAGCCCCACATAAACTTAGGTACTAAACCTATAAAATATATCGTTTTAACATCACTTGGTAAATATATTGTCCCCAATAATATATTATCATTTTACCATCCTTGTTTGTTTCATTCATTATCATTTATTACTTCAGCCTAGTGAACAATATTGTTTTCCATCATCACCAAGGAAGAAGATAATCAATGTTTTTGCTTCCTTATCAAAACTATTGTGTACATTATGAAACTACATCTTCAAGTATTAATCGTGAATCTCCTAATCGTTATCTTTATATAGTAAAACAACGTATTTTCATGAGGTTTAATACCTAAGCTTAGGTGGGGCTGTAATGTATATTCACTTTTCCTATATATATATATATATATATATATATATATATATATATATATATATATATATATATACAGAGAGAGAGAGAGAGAGCATGCTAGGTTCAAATTTTTCTAGAACTATTGTGTACCTAAATGCACCAATGAGAATTCAAGAAATAATAAATAATTAAATAAATCATTAAAGGGTATTTTGAACCTTTTTTAATTTTAATTAAGGAAATCATTTAATTGAAATCCTGAAATTAAGGAAATAAAGTAAATATATTTGACCTAGTCATGTGTGTGGTCGAACACGTTCATCATCGGCATCAACACCATCACCATCACCGTCACCTCTGCCCAGTTCCTCTCTTCGCAGACCTCCATCTTTTAATTTTTTCAATTCTTAACAATTCCAAACACTCACTCACTCAATTCATATTTTTTTCCATCAGCAAATTCCAACCGTGTACTCAGAAACCTTCAAAATCCTCAAACCCTTTTCACTCCAAAAAACCACTGCTACTATCACACCCCAAAACCACGAACGGCGGAAACGTTCAGGGGTGGAGGACGTCATGTACAGTATCACAACAATGTAAAATAGTAAACAAGCAACAACATCATCCATTGCATTATAAGTAAAGTTTTAATACATATGTGTTCTTTCATTGTAATAAGACACCAAAAATATAATCAAAATAAAAGATGAGACTTGTCTGCTCCGTCTTCTCAAAACCTGGCCACCGTACCTGTCTACTGATGACCTGAGAATACAAGTTATTTTGAAAGAGAGTATCAGCTTTAAAGCTGGTGAATTCATAAGTATTTAAGTGTCATTGTCTTGCTTTGATAAACTGTTATGAATGTCCTGTAAAACCTTTAAGTAAAACAGTTGATATAAGTATGAAAAACCCTAAGAAATCCCTTATTTCCTACTAGTATGAAATGTAGTCTTCTACTAAGACCCGGACGTTTTGTAAGTAAAATGATAGTCTTTCCTTCTATAGACTAGCACTAAAGTACCTAGTCTAACTCATCGTTTATGGGAAAGTATCTCAAAATAAAGTAAACAGGAAAAAGTATAATCATGTAAGTATTATCCCTGGATTACCAAGACTAACACGACATCGCCGAAACGAAAGGTATAACCTAGTGAACATCCGAAGATTGTCAAATTAACCCCTGTAGCGAACAGTGGTTCCATGAATGGTTAGTCCCGTAACTGACTCTACATCGCTGTAAGCGGAATAGATAACCTAATGAACATCCGAAGATTGTCCAATTAACCTCTGTAGCTAACAGTAGGTTCCAGGAATGGTTAATCCCGTAACGGTCTCCTAATATAAGTAATAACAACCAAATGAACATCCGAAGATTATTCAATTAACCTCTGTAGCGAACAGTGGTTCCAGGAATGGTTAATCCTGTAACTGACTCCCGTTGAGCTGGGATGGGCTGGATGATTTACTGAAGGTACTTAATAAATCATCTTTACGAATCGAGTTTCAAGTATTCATGTAAGTATACACAGGTAGATGTATCTACGTAAAGGTATTCATGTAATGTGCTCATGTAAGCGTATTCATGTATCATGTAAGCATATGTAAAGGTACTCATGTATCAGGTAATGTACTTGTAAAGACTCATGAATGAACTGACTCTTGTGTGATTCCTTGTAATAGGAATAATGTTTGATATCTTCTAACTATCCCTATGATAGTTAACTGAAAGGTAATTGGTTGTTCAAGAAGGTAAAGGTAATGGTTTTGCAAGATATCTAAGAGTTTTGAATAATAATTAAGAGTGACTTGATTTCATGTTAATAAACATTTCAAAACTAATACTTTTGTTATCAAGGTATTTTAAGATAGAAAACCATTTCATGCATCACATTTTGTAGTATGTGAAATCTGTTGAATGAAAACACAGTTATAAAATACATATAAATGATTTAATAACATGTTGTTTTCTACTTGTATTCCCCCCCCCCCCCCATTAAAGCATTTAAAAATCATTTAAAACATTGATTTGGGGTATGAACTCACCTGTAGATGGTGAATTGGATGAACTGGATGGTGTAGGATTGTTAGGTGTTAAGTGAGGACTTGTACACACACTACGATCCTAATGAACATATAATCACACATATATGCACTCAATTAGACTTAAATTACTAATTGATAATGTTAATACATCCTAGAACATAATAAACACTTTATATAAGTATTTTAATCCCTAAGGATGGCATATGAGCTATTGTGGGACAAGGTACTTGGGTTTAGGGTTCCAAAGGACCCCATATATGAGTTTACTCTCCATATACCATCATACATGTAGTTTACGGTTGTAAACTCTTGAGTTTACGGCCGTAAACTCCCAACCTTGGTGGTATTGTGTGTTTTGAAGTTCTAAATGATCCCTAGAATTATTCCAACTTGGTTGTTCAATTCTTGGAAGGGTTTAAGGAATAGAAACACCCCTTTGAGGAGTTTACAGACCTAAGGCCATTTCCCTTAGAGTTTCCAACCATAAACTCTTAAGTATGGGTGTTTTTGATGCTTTCAAGTCTCTTGCACACGTGGTATAGGTTCTAGACTTTTATTCCAAGCATATGAAGGCCTTTGATACACTTTGGTGCCCTTTAATCATGTTTACGGCCCAAGAACCATGTCATGGCCGTAAACTCACTTTGAGAGGTGTTTTTGATGTGTTTTAAGGCCCTTGATTAAATGGTAATAAGTCTATGTAAATGCCTAAGGCCTTAGGTGCCTTAAAAGCACCCTTTTGTGCATGATTTTGGAGTTCACGGTCCAAGATCCTCTTGGGCCGTGAACTCCCAAACTTGGGTGATTCTTTGATGTTTTCTTGTCCCTAATACACTTCTATACAAGCCCAAAGTAGTATCATATCACGGGGACAAGTTTAGGCTTTGTTTCGGGAGTTTACCGCCCAAGAACACCTTGGGGAGTAAACTCCTAAATCTAGTGATTTAGCCATCTAAATCATGTTATAACCGCATAATAAAGTTTTTAACACTACTAGAAAGAGTTACTCACATTTTGGTATAAAAACCCGAAGATCCAAGAGAGAGAAAATGGATTTTCTCTAGTTAGAAATGTGAATAATGAATGAATTTGGTTCTGAATTCTATTTATAGTCCTGATATTTTTTTCAGAAAATATTTTATTCCCGAAATGATCTCTAATATAATAGAGTGTTGGAATAACAGTGTTGTACAAAACTCTAGTGCATCCACTCTCCTGATATTTCCTGAAGTCTAAACCCTATATTTCTCAAACTTATACGGAAAAGTCTGAAAGTTTACTGTGACTGATATAACTTCTATTGAAGTGTTATTGTTTATACATAATGGAAATTACGGGTTGTCACATCATCCCCCCGTTAGAAGGAATTTCGTCCCAAAATTAGAATTTAAGAAAGTAAGAAGTTACAATTAACTAAGAGAAAAGATGAGGGTATTTCAGTTTCATCTGATCCTCTCGTTCCCAAGTGAATTCAGGTCCACGCTTTGCGTTCCAGCGAACCTTCACTATCGGGATACGACTCTGCTTTGTTTGCTTGACCTCTCGGTCCATGCTCTTTACTGGTTCCTCCACGAAGTTGAGGCTCTCGTTGATCTCGATCTCGTCGAGTGGAATAACAAGAGTCTCGTCGGATAGACACTTTTTCAAGTTCGAGACGTGGAAGGTAGGATGTACGTTACTGAGTTCGTGTGGTAGATTGAGTTTGTAAGCTACAGGGCCGATTCTCGCGAGAATCTCGAAAGGCCCTATGTATCTTGGATTGAGCTTCCCACGCTTTCCAAAGCGTATCAAGACCTTCCAGGGTGAGACTTTCAGTAGGACTCGGTCGCCCACCTGGAATGCCAATGGTTTCCTTTGCTTGTCAGCGTAGCTTTTCTGTCGGTCTCTAGAGGCTTTCAATCGTTCACGAATTTGAACGATCTTCTCTGTCGTTTCCCGAA